CACACCAGTCTTAGTGGTTTCTTTTCCAATGCCTACGTATACTATTTAATTTTCTTGCCTCCATGCAGTCACTAGACTCTCTAAGAAAATGTTAAAGTAATAATTACTATTAATGATCCTTTCTAAATATTATAGTTACAGATTTTAATTGAAATGATTTTAGAGGTTTTTGGGTTAGTGTTTGTTTGTTTGTTTGTTTGTTTGTTTGTTTGTTTGTTTATTGAGACAGGGTCCAGCTCTGTCACCCAGGCTGGAGTACAGTGGTACAATAAGAGCTCACTGCAACCTTGAACTCCTGGGCTCAAGCGATCTTCCCACCTCAGCCTTCCAAGTAGTTGGGACTACAGGTTTGCGCCGCCACGCCTGGCTGATTTTTTCTACTTTTTGTAGAGGTAGGGTCTCACTATGTTGCTTGGGTTGGTCTTGGCCTCAAGTAATCCTCCACCTTGGCCTCCCAAAGTGCTAGATGTGTAGGCATGAGCCACCGTACCCAACCAGGAATGACTTTTGAATTGTATTAAATGCCTTTCAACTGATATAATAATTATTACTAATATAATAATTTTGTTTTTCCTTTTGGATTTGGTAAAGTAATGAATTATGTTGATAAGTTTCCTAATATTGAAATATTCTTTTATTCCTGGAACAATCCCTTCTTAGTCATACTGCATTATTATTGTGATACATTACTGGATTCCATTTGTCATTACATTATAACTTTTGTTTGTATATTCATAAATGAGGTTGTGTTTTTTAGCTTCATTTGCATGAATTATAGAGTATTTTTCTGGGACACTTCACACTGACGACTCAATAATTTCAATAGATCATTTGAGGCATTAATAGGTGGCCAGCAGGATAGGGAAAGAAGAGGGGAGCATTTACTCTCTCAACAGCTTCCACATTGGTTGACCTCTGGGTCCTGAGATAAATTACTCACCGCACAACTGATCTGCAATTTCTCATGTCTTCCTCTTCAGCATGTTTATTATTTCATTACATACTCATTAATGGGAAGGACCATCTGCTATGATGTTTTCATATAACAGATTTAATTAGTCATTCATTTGGTGCTGAGAAAATAGAAGAAGGTATTCTATATAAAATGCTCTTCTAAATACTTTTTCTGAATTTAGTAGGAAATAAGCACTATTAAAATTAATATTTACACATGTTAAAAACATAACTTTGACTCCATAAACACCTCACTCGGAATCCAAGGCTTTTAAATATGTCATCCACAGTGATTTCAGTAAGTTCATATTAAGTTATTCCATGGGCCCAATGTTGTCATTCAATAAAAAAACAATCAAATCTGCTATTTCATATATCCTCTAAATGTGCAGTTTTGCTACTTGAATTAGTAAAAGTGAGCAGGGATCTGTATACATTTCAAATTTGTACAGTTTATTTGCTATGAGGGGAAAGAAAAAGATTGCCTTACTTCTTACTTGCCTTTGCAGGGGACAAATAGATACAGGCTTTTGGGGCTAACACCAGGCTCATGTTGGAAGGGCTCAGAAACAGAGCAAGGACTTTTAGGGGTCACAGAATCCATAAAAGCAAATTGGTCTGCGCCTGCCTCAAGCTGTGGTGTTAATATTAGTAGACAGGATGCTGTAGAAACGTGAGGGAGAAAACTATAAAAAGTGATATTTAAATTGCTATGAAGCTTGAATTGAGCTCTTTTCCATTATTCTAGAATCATTATTAATATGAGAGAAGCAGAGAGAGACCCAAACCCAATGAAAAGCCATAGGAAGTTACAGAACACATGAAAATCCCAGCTGGTGAATAAAATCTATCATGTTGGCAAAGCAGCGTGAGTGAAAATCTTTTAAACATGCATCAGCTGCAGGGGCTGAATGTTGAGAAATAAAAGATTAAGATGATGCTGGGGAGAACTGGGGGACATTCATGCACACCCCTCTAAGAAAAGCCTGCTTATGCACTGCTGGGCTGTATACCATTAAAGTGATAAAGCAAGCTCAGCTGCTAAAGACACATCTTCCCTGTAATGTATATGTCAAAAAACATGGCAGAGACATTATGGCTCAGCTCCCTGAATTGAGTAATCTCTAAAATGAAGATTAGATATTAAATAGTTTTACTGCTCTATTATTAGAGTTATAGCAAATCTAAGTGCTAAGTTCCTTTGAATATATTGTCCTTCATACCAACCAGGCAATATCATAAAGATAATAACTGAGGTAGAATATTTAACAAATATTTATTGATCACCTACTATGTGCAAAACTACAAAAATAAATCAGACATGGTCTTGGACTTGCAGGAGTAAAAGTTCATGTTCTGTGAGGGTAATAGACATACATAAATAACACTAAGCCAACTGTAACAAGAATAATAACAGAGGAGTAGAATTCTACCAGAATGTGGGGAGGGGGGAGGGGGAGGAAGGATGAATAAAGATGACAGTTGGGAAAAGGTAGTTATATAACATTCTAGTGTGGTCTAGGAGTTCCCATCCTGACTGGATTACTAATGAGCTACGTGACCTTCAGCAGGTCTCTAGGCTTTCGTTTTCTCATCTGTAAAATGAAGGGGTTACTCTATAATGATCTCTGAGGTGCTTCTTCAGAACAAAGTCTAATTTTATTATCCTATTCACATAGCAAAACAGCAAGAGTAAAATTGTTGTCATAAACAAAATTTTAAAATTTTGCCACAAAATAGTTTTGGTAGCAGAGCAGCTTATATTTACTTTGTACTGCATGTTTCTTCTTCCTGTACAAGTGTACATCAACACAGGGGAAGTCAAAAGGCAGCATCTCTCAATGTAGCATATTAGACTTTAGTGGAACAAATGTCAAAATATAGAAAACTACAAAGAATAATATAACAATCACTTATATTCTATGTTACAAAAATAAAACATTACACATAAAGCTAAAGCCCCCAGAATCACCATCCTTCTGTCCAATTCTCTTCCTTTCACTCTCCAGAGGTAACTATTAGAATTTGTTTTATATATATGCTTCAAATTCATTCTTGTATCTTAATATACATTTATACAATGTACATATCCATAAACAATACATAAATTATTTGGTATATTTTAAAATGTTACATATATAATATCCTCTATTATTTTACTTCTTGCTTTTACTATTCATTATCATTTTTTGGACCTACCCATCTGATAGCTTGTTCTTTTTCATTGCTTTATAAATTCCATTATATAATTTTCCCTTTTTTATAGATTTTTGACTTATTTTCAAATGTCTAATATTACAATCAATGCTACAATGAACATACATGTACACACACTTATGTTCACATCTCCTTCTGCACATGTGTGAAAGTTTTTCTAGGACCTATGGCCTGAAATGGAATGGCCCATTATAGGGTTGTGTATTTCCAAATTGTTATTAGGTGTTGCCATAGGCATTCCAAAGAGTTTGTACCAGTTTACACTCCCACCAGAGGTGCTTGAAGTTCCCACATTCTTACCAACATTTGATATTGTCTGACATTTAAACTTCAACTAGTGAAAACATTTTTTGGAGTGTGCTTATTGGCCAAGCAGATTGACTTCTCTGTGAGCTGCTGCTCCATTCCCTTTACCAACATTATGTTGTTGTCTAGAAGTTGTAATTTCCAAATTTCCTTAACTTGAAACAACTCTAATAGTTTGAGTTTGTTTTTCCCTTTAGGTCTTTAGTCCATCTTAAAAATCTTAAAAATATTTTGTGTGGGTGTTTAGGTAAATAATATCTTTTTATTCTTTTCCATATAGGCAATTGTCTGAAACCATTTAGTGAATAATTTATTCTTTCACTCAAGGATTTGTGAAGTAAATTCCTTCAAATACCAAGTTCCCATACACATTTGGGTCTGTCTCTGGGCACTTTATACTGACCTGTTGATCTAGCTGGCTTTTCATTTTGTTTTTTGATTCCTTAAATGATTGGTTATATTTAATAAAAAGGAAACTAGTTCAATGAGAGTTTCCATTTCTAATATCAAAGCTGAAAGATTTTCCTCCACTGCCCTCCTTGGTATCTTAAGTGTCCTGGAAGCTACTGTGGGGAGATGTCCACCTGGAGTAGGCAGATGGTGGCCGAGCAAATGTGGGGCACAAGTGGAACACTAGCCCACTCCCAAGGTGGCTAGGTGGCCAGTTGGCAAGTTCAAACTGAAAACTGGATAATTTAAATACTAGATTCAGCTTTAGGGGAATTCTGGGTATTTGTATAATACTATGCCTTCTTTGGCCTTTCCCTGGCAGCTGCTGGGCAGTGGCTCACCTAAACCACTCTGCATTTAGGGATCTTTGGGATGGCCTCTCTTTCTCCCTTCCTTTTTAGTATTCACTGCCTCCTTACCATATCCGTCTTCTCCTCTCTCCAAAAGTTCTACTCTCTTATTTCACATTAGTTCTTGATGGACAATGCTATGGTCTGGATTGGTGAAATTGTATTAATATGCTTGGGTTGTCATTTCTCTAAGTCATGGTTTATTATAAAATGAGAATAATGATTTTACCTTTCTCATAGGTTGTGGTGAGGATTAAATAAGATGATACATGTGTGTGCAATCTATTACACTGCCTGTCACTCAGGAAGGGATTGATGAATATTAGCTATTCTTGTTATTTAATAATAATATAACATCAATATTAGACTGTTTTCAAAATAAAATATATTTTTATATTTTCAAGAAACAAAAATGAGTTTTTAAATTTATGTCCAGTTGCTATAGACAATGTCTGTAATTGTTACTTGAGTTCCTTTGCAGTGATTAATATTGACTAGTAGAATGCAATCATTATGGATGATGTTGACACCAAAGTAGTAATTCCATGCATTTTTTATATTAAGTATTAATCTAATCATGTAACTAACACTGATAATATCAGTATTATTAGGTATCATTATGTATCATTAGGTATCCATGAGGTATCATTATAAATACCTAATGGATATTTTAACCCATACTTAATTACAGACAAATAATTTTTGCTTCCCTTTTGTGTACAGGTTCTCCTCTCTGTGCTTTCAAGGTTCTATGGAGAAGGCAAAGATTTTGAAGCCTTTTAAGAGATGATCACAGACATTCACAATGTCATCTCCCTAAAGGATTTGAAGGCTCTGCTATCAACCAAAGGAAAAGCACTAGTGAGAGTCAGGATACAATTCCAGACAGGGGCCACTTCTTACTCAGAATGTGTCAAGGTCATGTGCCTATGATGTGTTCACATCTGAGCCAGCAACCATAAAAACAGAGAGACTGGAAGGAAGAACACAACAGTTTAGTAAGTACTAAGTGCTGCCATGTAGGTCGTAACGTTTCATCTTGATAATAACTCTGAGAGCCAAGGTTCATTAGGCCCAATAAATAGCAAAAATATGGGTTAAATCCAGATTAAAAGTTGGTATTCTTTCTACCACATGTATTGCTTCTAATAACAAATATCTTAATAAGTGCCTTCCTGAGAAATACTGTTGCTATAGGACTTTTCTTTTTCTTTTTTTTTTTTTTGGACTGTTTTTTTTAATTTCAGAATATTATGGGTGTACAAACATTTTGGTTACATGTAATGCCTTTGCCTCACCCAAGTCAGGGCTAGCAGCATACCCTTCCCCCATACAGTGCACTCTATCTCCACTGGTTGTGAGTTTCCCCACTGCACCCCTCACCTGACCGGCACCCAGTGAATATTACTACCATGTGAGCACCTTAGTGTTGATCAGTTTTTAGGCCTGTTTGGTTTTCATCTACACATATGTTATTTCCAACCAAAAGAATTGATTTTGCTCAGTTATTCTGTGTCAGGGATCAGCAAACCTTTTCTGTAAAGGGATAGTCAATATTTTCAGTTTTGGGGACCATATAGTCTCTGTTGCAACGACTCACTTTTTTTGAGACAGAGTCTTGCTCTGTTGCCCGGGCTATAGTGCCGTGGTATTAGTCTGGCTCACAGCAACCTCAAACTCCTAGGCACAGGCAATCCTCCTGTCTCAGCCTACCGAGTAGCTGGGAATACAGGCATGCGCCACCATGCCCTGCTAGTTTTTTCTATATATTTTTAGTTGTTTGGCTAATTTCTTTCTATTTATAGTAGAGATAGGGTCTCACTCTTGCTCAGGCTGGTCTCGAACTCCTGATCTAGAGCAATCCGCCTGCCTCGGCCTCCCAGAGTGCTAGGATTACAGGCGTGAGCCACCACGCCCAGCCATCAACCACTCAACTTTTGACAGCCATAGATAATATATAAATGAATGGTTAGCATGGCTATGTTCTAATAAAAACTTTATTTACAAAAACAGACAGTAGACATATTTGGCCTATGGCTATGTTTGCAGATGCCATTTTGACATATTTCAGTCTATAAAGTTTCAGAGAGTTCCGTTTCCTATAAAGTTTTGAAATCTCCCTAGGTCTATATCCAGCAGTGATCCCCCAGTGTCCCTCACTATGAAAGCCCCCACATTTCATTATAACTCAGTCTTGGAGAGAAGGGTGTGAGGCTTGTGCCCATTATGGTGAAATTTGTATCATTATAAAAATATTTATAAAGGGCCTTAGAAAAGTGAGAGTTGCTGCCCCACTGCTTGTATCAGAGCAAGCCCTGTGGTAGGAAATCTCATACAGAGGGTGGGCTCTAATTTCAGAGGATAAGAACCTGGAGTCCCATGGAGGTCTCAGTTGGAGCTATTGATTACATGGTATAAAACGATGAGATTGGCAGCACTTGAGCCACCAGTATCTAAATTCTGTGCAGGGAATTTTGTGCCCATCAACTGCACTAATATACTCCACCATGCTAGCAAGTGTCTTGGTTTTAAACTCCGCAAAACTCTACCAAATTATTTATGTTGGCCTGATTTTTCTACTCTTCTATCTTTTCTGGCACTTTTTTGTTTTAAATGTCTGTATAGCTGCTTTAGAGACATTCTGCCACCTTTTTGGACTCGGCTAGATCATGTGGAGTAGTCAGGTTGTGATTGGGATCTTAATAACCTGTCAAAACAGAGTATTTAAATCGTGGTCATGTTATTTTATTTTCTTTCCATGGAACACAGATAGCCAGGAAGACAAATAGGAGAGGCCCTTTGGTAGTTTTTCCTTGTTTGTGTGATCCTGAGGGTTTTGATGAACTGTTTTTGGCAAATTACATTGAGGTTATTCAAGCCAGCTTCAGCTGGATCTGACTTGCTTAATGATTTGGCAAGGATCTGAAGCATTGGAAATCAAAACAAAACAAAACAAAGAAGAAAATAAAAACTCAGATCAGATAAGCATACATCATAACAATATAATCATTCAGCATCTTATCTGGTTACTTATAATAGGTTGTGCAGTGACAGAAATGGAAATAATTTACTGTGGCCACTCTGTTACTGTAAAATCATTTATGTGCTGTGAAAAGAATTGCAAACTGTTGAGACTCAAAGATCCCCTAACTGCATTCTCCCAAGGAGTTCTCCACCACCATTCCCAGGTCTATTTCATATTTTAAACATTTTCTTAGATTTTGGACTTTATTATCTATGTTCAGATTCAGCAAGCCTTACACCATCAAGAAATACAGTAATGAGAAATAGAGCTACTTCTGACGTTTTTATGGTATGTGATATATGATATAAAATGATGTATTAAGCTCTTTGTAATAATTTTTAATTTTTGAAATAGCTGATTCTTTGGGGATCATTTAATATATAATTCCATAGATTTTAGTGATATCAGGTTTCTTTCAAGTATAATTTAAATTGAACTCTGGTGCTTTTTTGTCCCCCATCAACTGTGAATCAAATAGGAGCCTATGAAGTCCTATTGGGTAACAAATGGTAGGCCAAGGAAAAATTGGTTCACAAGTCATACCTGAAGACAAATAAGATTCAATCCCTGCCTTTAAGGAGTATGTGGGGGAGGATACGAAGAGAGACAGAGAGAGACAGAAAAAAAGTACACAGAGAACTACACAATAAAGTAAAAATGTTGTAAGTTTAATTAATAAAAGGCAACATGTCATATGACTTGGAGATAAAGAATGGGTAATTATTTTTATAGCAGCTACATTTACTGAGCTGCATTTACTTGCAATTTGCTGAGCACTGTTTTTTATACTTATATGTATTTTTTTAAAAAATGACTTGGAGACACAATCCATTGTACAGATGAAGAAAAGAGGCCCAGAGAAATTAAATAACTTGGGCAAGATTTACAGCTATTAGGTGGTAGAACTGAGTTCAATAATCAAGACAATGAAATGATGAAAGTACACCACAATACTGGAAAGATTAGATCACAGATGATTTAATAAGCAGGGAGGCCAGTTAATGGGATATTTAAACAATCCATAGGATATTGAGAGATACTGGACTGGAACAGTGGCAATGGAGATAGTGAGGAGTGGAGGGTAGTGGAATGAGATTTTTGTAAGAAAGAGTCACAAATGGAACTTGGAACTAATTTGATAATATGGAATACAGGAAGACTGAGTCAAAGATGATTGTAGTGTTTTACGTTGAAATGAGTAGAATGAAGTATAGAAGGGGAATCTAAAGGGATTAGCCAGCTTCTTTGGGAACTCGGAGCACACTGTGTACATTCCCTGTTCCAAGTCCTCATTACACCTTTATCCATCACTATTTGTTTATGGATCGCTTGCCTCCCTTAATTCTCAAACTCCTGACATCAAGCAAGCCTCCTGCCTCAGCCTCCCAGAGTGCTAGGATTACAGGTGTGAGCCGCCACACCCGGCCTCTCCTCCCTTAATTCCGAGCTCCTTATGCCTCATGACTTATATATGACCCACACCCAGGATAATGCTCCAGACATAGTTAAGTCTTCCATAAACATCCTTTTGAAATAAACTTTAAACATATTATTATAGAAGTGCTCACTAAATAGCTAAATATGCTGTTTAGGCGGTTGGAATTAAATATAGACATTTTAGAATAGTATCACCTTGTAAAAGTTTTAGATTTTAATTATCAGAAAGAAATAATATCTGAAATCTTGAGAATGGGTTAATATCTTTAATGAGAATATGAAAGACACAGAAAACAGTATAACTGAAGGTGAAAGAAAGCAATAGGGAACAAGAGGAAGAAAGATGGAAACAGGATTCAGAAAGTGAGATCTTTATTTAAAGGAATAGCTAATCAATAATGTGAAATACTATACTTTGAGGGAGTTTCTGATGTCTGCAAAAATATAGTTGAAATGTATGTTTTTATTACCCATTTTATAACTGCTGTTGTAGAATATTATATTTGAAGAGGTAGTACAGATGCTATATTAATTAGAAGGTTTATTAAGCATTAGCTTTTATTTCCTTTTAATAAATGTATGTATATGCCACAGGTGAAGGGAAAATTTTCCATAGCTAATCAGTTCAGATGAAAATAATTAATACATTAAAATGAGCTAATCATAAGCTATCCCATTTCAAACCACCTTCATTTAATCACCCAACATGGAATAAAAATTAACTTAAATGTATGTGAAATTTACCATTGTAACTTTCATACTAACCACTATATTACAATGCCAGATATTCCCCGTTAAAGATCTCTGTTTCTAATCTCTTAGCATTTCCTGTAAATTTTTCCTTTTAGACAAAAGCATTACATGTTTTTGATAAGTTCTGAAGTCATTTGTTTGGGAGAAATTTGGCAGAGTGCCTATTTAGCTGTCTTTTATTTGCATTTGAAATATCTAAAGTGTACTCATTATCCAGCCTTCTTTAATATATTGAATTATGAAAACTCACTTCAAACATTCTTACATATATTTTGAAAATACAATTGCTTTGTTGCTGTTCTTTTTAAACAATCACAAAAGCCTCATCTCCTTAGAGAGCTATGAACTCAGACCATTAAAGAAGAATAACCGAAGTTATTAGTATTATACATACATTATTCTTATAGTGTATCATAGGAATAAACAATAGAGGGCTTTATTAGATAAGATATGCCATATCTACCCAGTTGTGTCACACCATAATTGGTACATTATAAGAAATGGTCTCTTTTCATGCATTATGGAGTGTAACTTCAAACTCAGAATAGTAACCCTAAAATGATTATCTTTTAAAAATCTATTCTGCATTAGAACTAGAATAACAACATCTATAGGTGAAAAACTTTTAAGCTCAATAGATGGAATAAAATCTAGGTTATATACAGGTAAATATAATTAGTGACATGGAGGGCAGTAGTAAGGAATTCATAGAAAGACAAAAAAATAACATACAAGTAAAAGCAGTTGGAATATAGAGGATATATTGTGAACCTTCAAGCCACC